GAAAGACAAACCATTTTGTTAACCTTTTATTAACTATCAAGAACTAGATCGATATCGCTCTTGTTTCCTACTCGAGAGACTTTGAAGAGAGTTGGATGGCTGCGGCGATGTTGTGCTGCAGTTTTACAAAAACAGCGACTATGTCTAGCGCTAATCTTGTAATGCGGTTATAATGGCAATACTTACCCTTTACTGTCCTACTTTTAGTATTTGTGGTCAAAAATTCAGATTCCAGAGAAATTCATTTCCGAAGTAGTTTGATGTCCTGAACACGAGAACCACACTCCTTTGTCGCGAAAAAAAGCCACGATTACCGGCGCCAACCGCAGTTTGGGGCACCCAACCCGCTTTGAACCTTTAGCCATAACTGGTTCTTTTTGCACAATGAGAGCGAAAATTAAATAATTCGCTTGCATATGTGAGTGATATTCGCCTGAAGAGCTCGAAAAACCGGCGCGAGCAATTGTGATGTCCACGCTCAAGGTTGTATTATCTTCGGAGGCAAATTTGTGGGTAAATCTACCTACTGGAAGAAGTTTAGAACCACCTAATGTCTAAATTCTGGAAAGTAATGCAAAAAACGACAAAAAGAGCAACGATTCCGTCTATAAACCAAGCTCCGCTTTAGAAATTGTGGAAAGCGTTCGACATTGGAAAATCTTGCTGAAATTCTGCGGTGTGAAGCTCCATACTATTGTACTCACCTCCGAGACGGATGCGCAGGAGCTCATTGGGTCATACGAGCAGGTTTGAAAACTGTATAATTATACAGTCGTATTTAACTCGTTCATTTATCCACAGTATCTTCAGGTGGTCGACGATTCCGCCCTAATTGATGCCAAAGCAACTTTATGCGAACTTCTGGAGAATCACGTTGACACAGCTGTGCTAAAGAAATTGAATGATGCAAATGATGTGACAGAGTTGGAAACGATGGCTGAAATGGTGCTCATTGATATGAAGGAGAGCCACAGCAGTATCGTAGACGAGTGTCGAGAAGCATTAGTTTACGCTGCCCGATCAGCAATGCGATTCGAGTGGATCGACAGTCCGTTTGTTCGTGCGTACTTGGACGGTCATTGGTTGTTGATAGAAGATGTGAATCTGTGCAGGTGAGGATTATTATGCTGTTTTTCTTTTGGGTAGTCTTTTTTTTCTGAACAAAGAGTTTCGCTATGTTTTGCGAGGCCGCCTACAGCGAAGTCATCATCACTAACGTAGTTTTGCGTGTTCAGTCCAAGTACTAAGGATTATTCGCAGCTCATGTCTTTGTTTAAAGGCGGAGTTTACGATTAATATTTGTTGGTGTACAAGCAAGAGTGGTAGCCGCCACATCAGCATATAGGCCTACAGTTTCTATGAAATTGGTATTAAATATCAGGACAGGCTAGAGAAGAGAAACAGGTGGTTATGGCCATAAAGCGATTGAAGATACTCAATAATGCCACCTTGAGTTCAGTTTACAGCATGCGAACATGGATCATGACCTACCTTTTGGTTACGACACTGATGATTTTTTCCTCCAATGGTCCTTCGCAGTGGCTAGAGTCACAGACAATTAAGAACGGGTGACCAGTACCTCAACTCTTTAAGAGAGCAGGACCGCGCCAGAGTGCGTTGAGGCAGTTAAAAGGGCGAAGTCAAGTAGCTGCACCACTTGCCTGGGATCAAATATTCAGAAAATTCCTCCATATGCGAGCCGAAATGTTTAAATTAACATCGTAGCAATTCTTCGCATGAATGGATCTGGTTAAATTATTAAATGATGATGAGCATCTGTGAAGGTACATGTAGCTGTATGAAGTTCGAGGTTATACTCACAGAGTCCCTCAAGCTGGTGTCAGAGTCCGCGAATCGCGCGACGGATCGCAGAAATCACAAGTGCCCGATCAATACTGCGAGGTGCTCTCCAATCCCGCCGCCATTTCTGCTTGATGGTGATGGTTGAATGACGACTGTTCATGATTCTACTTGTTTCATATTCAGTGTTCATGTTCAAATGGGGCACTTGCGATTTTTGCGATTCGCGCGAATCGCGCGACGGATCGCGGACTCTGACACCAGCCTCGCCGTTTCTTCCAAGTAGTGAAGAGCTTCAAGTGGAGTTCTGTTTGGCTATAATTGGTTCAAAATTGTGTGAAATGGTATTTCTATTGTAGACTATCAGTAATTCAACATTTCTGAATGCTTCCGCACATTTACAGTGCTGCTGTGTTGGATCGTCTCAACAGTTGTTTGGAAAGTGATGGACGCCTCGTGGTATCAGAGCGTCAATCTTCTTTCGAACCATTGAAGCCTCATCCTAATTTCAGGTAGAATCTTCTTGTGACCTCGTTATCTAATTCCAGCTATGCATACCCTAACTTACAGAGCCTTCCTCTCAATGGACGCTCGTAACGGAGAAATTTCACGAGCAATGCGAAATCGTAGTGTGGAGATATTTGTGACGACGCAGCAGCAGTGGAATTTGAATCCTCCTGATATAGCTGCTGTTGTTTATTCACATGGGAAAACAATTCCAACCCAGGTAATCATGAATCATGTAATTATGTTTTTATTATGAAAACCAGTTTCTCACTGTGTCTCATGTTTGGAAATTTAGATCTCGCAGGCGTTGACTTCGCTATCGGCTGAGAAACAGCTACATTTTTCCGCGCTTCTGAGTGAAATATCGCTTGAAGAAGCATGTCGTATAGTAGGCCTTCAATGTATGGAAACGGACGTTGATTTGCAAATTAGTCCAATAGCACCTTTTATTGAAGAAATTGATACGGATGGGTAGGGTTTTTTTTCTCAAATACAAGCTCTTCCTCAGTAATGTGTTTCTTTTATAGTTACGAAATATGGCTACTGAGGACTTGGAAAAGTTGCTGTGACGCTGGTGTTAT